GGAAGTTGTGTCACATCGATCGTTTACATGTGACCGAAATAATTCGCTAACGGTGAAACTAAGTTGAATTGTACTTGCATTTGATAACAATTCAACGAATTTATTTTTCGTGCGTTATTATAATTACTACTGAGTAATAATCAACAATTTCAACACTTCGAAAACAAGTAAGTTATTCACTTGTCTGTCGAAGCATGGACGGATTGCGTTACCGTACCCACGGTACCGTACTTATTTAGTGCTTGTTTTTCTTTGAAACTCCTGTCAGAATATACTTTCCGTTACGAAGAAAATTAAAAAAATAAATGCATATTACAATAAAAATACTGAGTATTTTTTTTCATGTGAACAGTTTTTTTGTGACGTGACGCTTATCACTCTTCCCTGACATCTAAATTGGAGTTACCCTTATATTCAAAAGATGTACGGTGTATTGTTTGTTTTGAGCAAGTGATGTGGGGGGAAAATGACCACGCCCATTTAGTTATTGCAATATATACGTAATAGAAACCGCACCCCGAACTTGAGCTGTTGATCCCAATTTTGTATTTGATACATTGTAATATAAACCGCGGTTTATAATAGGATTTTAACGGTATTCTTCTAAATACGAATGCCGCAAGCCAGGCAAAAGGGCAGTATGTACCGTTAAAGTACATGGGACCGGCGAGTTTTACGTCCCCTCCTAAAGGAAATTATTCTTCTTAATACGAATGCCGCAAGCCAGGCAAAAGGGCAGTATGTACCGTTAAAGTACATGGGACCGGCGAGTTTTACGTCCCCTCCTAAAGGAAATTATTCTTCTAAATACAAATGCCGCAAGCCAGGCAAAAGGGCAGTATGTACCGTTAAAGTACATGGAACAGTACATGGGACCGGCGAGTTTTACGTCCCCTCCTAAAGGAAATTATTCTTCTTAATACGAATGCCGCAAGCCAGGCAAAAGGGCAGTATGTACCGTTAAAGTACATGGGACCGGCGAGTTTTACGTCCCCTCCTAAAGGAAATTATTCTTCTAAATACGAATGCCGCAAGCCAGGCAAAAAGGCAGTATGTACCGTTAAAAGTCCTAATATAAACCGCGGTTTGTATTACAATTTATCAACTTGCAATTAGTCGTGAACAAAAAAATTTTGGGTGCGGGTTTACATTGTGTACATATTGAAAACACTAAATGGGCGTGCATGGTCACTTTCCCAAAGTCATTTTATGTTGCAAAACAGTTTTTACGGTTACAAGAACACATACAAGTTCAAAAGACAACACATGGAAGTAGACGGAGTGGTTTATGGTATATCTTTTTTTGGAATATGTGTTGGCTCTGAAAAGGGCTGTTGGTTTCGTCTGGTTTCTTCATACTATTTATCGTCGTCACTGTCACTGTAAAACAAATTTAGCGATTTCTTCAAAGTTCTCTTCATCATCAGTTTCCAGGTCATCGTAAATCATGTAGTCTTCTGTCCCATCTATATTGTTGGAGATGCCAGGCTTCAGGAAGGATTGTTTCACACTAGTTTCGGACAAGCTGTTCCATGATTTGTCGACCCAGTCCATGATCAAATTTCTGCTAACACAATCGCGTTTTCCAGCAGGAGTGAATTTGGCATGTCCTTCCTTCATCCATCCATAAGTTGTGCATGTTGTCTTTTACTCGCCAATTCATTCAGACATCAAGAGGCTGAAGGAGTGATGTAAGGCTGTCTGGAATTACCGCTGTGTTAACGTTTCTCTCAGTGAGAGCAGCGATTATTTTTGCAGTCAGGTGAACCAAGCAAGAGTCCCATACTAGCAGCCTTCTACTCTCATCTTTGCGATGTGGAAATGTACATCGTATGTAATCAAGATAACCTAGATATAAACGAAAGACAAAATATGTTGCAAACTGCAACAAGCAGCCTCTCCGCTGAGATAGCTCCACTGTTAGCAATGCACATTTCAAATAAGAACTAAGGATATCATTAGAAAATGAACAATATGTATAGTATCAAAGCAATCAGACTGTCGGTTTTTAACAAGTCGAAAATATCACTTTTTACCAAAAATGACAAAAATATTCACCAAAAATAGAGAATTTGAGATTTTGACATGAAATGAACAAATCTGAGAAAAAACCATCCAAGGTACTTGCATATCAAATTTGAAAACATTCTGACTTGCGGTTTCGCAGTAGTTGAAATTGTAGTGTTGACAACGACGGACGCCAAAGGACAATCAGTAATATGAATAGTTCTGCTATGTTGACTTTGTCAACAGCCGAGCTGAAAAAGGCATGTGGTTCATGCAGACAACCTAATTTACATTTACATTACGTCACATGGCACCCCAATCAAGTAATGATCAAAGAAAATACAAGTACATGTTGGAGAGCTTGAAACAGTAACTGAAACATCATTCAGTTATTCTACCCAGATTTCCCAATGAATAATGTATGCACTAAATATGGAATATACTACACATTTATTTGTAATGAGCAAAAAAAACTGACCTGATTCATCAATATATCCCTTAGGATGTACACGAATGTGAATGCTTCCAGTTGACAAGTGAGACTGATCACGCTGCCTTTTGAATATGATAACCAGTTTCAGTTTTGTAGCATCTGCAGCAGCGGTTAACCCTTGAAACTCTTTGTCTCATTTCCTGTTGTTTTTATATGTACAGTCTGAGCACCTTTATGTTCTAGGGTGCGTTTCCCAGGCATATCGAAGCGTAGTGGCATTTTGTTCATGTTGAATACTGTAGAATACTTTATTTTCGCTTGGAATTAATTTTCGCTATTTTTGCTGAAGGAATGATTCAGTGAAAATAAAATCCAGCGAATAGACCCTTTTTTCTATATTTTACATTCAACTTGTCAAAAATCAGTGAAAATAAATTTCATACAAAGGACCAAAAATGACTTTTTAGCGAAAATTAAGTCCAGCTAAAATAAAGTACTTTACAGTATATCAGATGATGGATAATTGTGTTGTTGTCGAAGTCAGATAATGTAGTGATGAAATAGTGTAATTTTTTCATCATAATCTGGCGGTAACTTTTGTTCGATTGACGTCCTTTAATGGGTCGACAAAGTGTGGCAATGTTTGAAACCTTTCAACCAGCCATCCGATGCCTTGAAGAGTGCCCGGTGAATTCATTGCCATTTTTGTGCTGGTTTTCAAACCACTGCAATAAATTTCAGTCTGCTTGTCAGTGACAGACTGACCTTTGCCTGTTAGACGTTTAGCCCATTTTGATCTCAAGTTTGTCTTTTTGCTTGATTCAATTACAAACCTGTCTTTCATTTAGACCGTAATGCTCAGCAGTCTTTTGAAAGCAGCATAGGCTGCACGTCGGCAACTGGCACTCTGTTTTGTTCCCTTAGGCATACAAATTTTGGCAATAGATAAGTGTAGTAATATTAATTTTGTAGCGATAGCAATGTACTCAGGTCAGATAAGCGAATTTGCTATTCCAAAACACTTTTGAGGACAAATTTGGCATCTCGTTATCACTCAAACAATACTCAATTATAATATAAACTTGTAAATGTTGCAGTGGCCCTGGGCATTGCGGCGAATCCTTTGACGATCAAAGTCATGTGGCTACTATATAAATAATAGGACGATAATCATGTGTTGAAGTATTGGGAACAGCTAGAAAATTTAAGTTTTGTTACTAGAACCGTTGTAAATACAGTGTAATTCTCTCAAATGCTTTGAGACAAATATTCCACTTTGTTAGATAGCAGCACTTGTAGGTGGGTCCTACTAATTGACGCGCGGACACGCATGGGACTGTCCCGTCACGCGCGGAGGCGAACGGGGAGAAATACCTACCGCACGGAACAGCGATAGCAATCCTTGTACTGTATAATATTCGTTTATGCTCAAAATTTGAAACAGAGTGGCGAATTCGAGCAGATATCCACACTTTTTATGATTGACACCCGATTGAAGT